ACTGATGGACACTTAGGTTGCTTCCATTTCTTGGCTATTGTAAATAGTGCTGTGATAAACATAGGGGTGCATATGTCTTTTTCAATCAGGGATCCTGCATTCTTAGGGTAAATTCCTAGGAGTGGAATTCCTGGGTCAAATGGTATTTCTATTTTGAGTTTTTTGAGGAACCTCCATACTGCTTTCCACAATGGTTGAACTAGTTTACATTCCCACCAGCAGTGTAGGAGGGTTCCGCTTTCTCCACAACCTCGCCAACATTTGTTTTTTGTCTTTTGGATGGTGGCCATCCTTACTGGTGTGAGGTGGTATCTCATTGTGGTTTTAATTTGCATTTCTCTGATGACTAGCAGTGTGGATCATCTTTTCGTGTGCCTTTTGGCCATCTGAAATTCTTCTTTGGAGAAGTGTCTGTTCATATCCTTCACCCATATTTTAATAGGGTTATTTGCTCTTTGGGTGTTGAGGCGTGTGAGTTCTTTATATATTTTGGATGTTAACCCCTTGTCAGATACGTCATTTACAAATATATTCTCCCATACTGTAGGATGCCTTTTTGGTCTGCTGATGGTGTCCTTTGCTGTACAGAAGCTTTTTAGCATGATGTAGTCCTGTTTGTTCATTTTTGCTTTTGTTTCCCTTGTCTGAGGAGATGTGTTCAGGGAAAAGTTGCTCATGTTTATATTCAAGAGATTTTTGCTTATGTTTTCTTGAGAGTTTATGGTTTCATGACTTACATTCAGGTCTTTGATCCATTTTGAATTTACTCTTGTGTATGGAGTTAGACAATAATCCAGTTTCATTCTCTTACATGTAGCTGTCCAGTCTTGCCAGCACCAGTTGTTGAAGAGGCTGTCATTTGCCCATTGTATATCCATGGCTCCTTTACCATATATTAATTCACCACATATGCTTGGATTATATCTGGACTCTCTATTCTGTTCCATTGGTCTATGGGTCTGTTCTTGTGCCAGTACCAAATTGTCTTGATTACTGTGGGTTTGTAGTAGAGCCTGAAGTTGGAGAGCATAATTCCCCTAGCTTTATTCTTCCTTCTCAGGATTGCTTTGGCTATTCGGGGTCTTTTTTTGTTCCATATGAATTTTAGAACTATTTTCTCTAGTTCGTTGAAGAATGCTGTTGGTATTTTTATAGGGATTGCACTGAATTGCTTTAGGCAGGGAGTGTAGATTGCTTTAGGTAGGATGGCCATTTTGACAATATTAATTCATCCTATCCATGAACACAGGATGTGTTTCCATTTATTTATATCTTCTTTAATTTCTCTCATGAGTGCCTTGTAGTTTTCAGAGTATAGGTCTTTCACTTCCTTGGTTAGGTTTATTCCTAAAGGTATTTTATTCTTTTTGATGCAATTGTGAATGGAATTATTTTTCTGATTTCTCTTTCTGCTTGTTCATTGTTAGTGTATAGGAATGCAACAGATTTCTGTGTGTTAATTTTGTATCCTACAACTTTGCTGAATTTAGATATTAGATCTAGTAGTTTTGGAGTGGATTCTTTAGGGTTTTTTATGTACAATATCATGTCATCCGCAAACAGGGACAGTTTAACTTATTCTTGCCGATCTGGATGCCTTTTATTTCTTTGTGTTGTCTGATTGAAGTGGCTAGGACCTCCAGAGCTATGCTGAATAAAAGTGGGAAGAGTGGGCATCCTTGTCTTGTTCCCAATCTTAAAGGAATAGCTTTCAGCTTTTTGCTGTTAAGTAAAATGCTGGCCTTGGGTTTGTCATATATGGCCTTTATTATGTTGAGGTACTTGCCCTCTATACGTATATGTCTTTTTGAATCAGAGATCTTGTTTTCTTCAGGTAAATTCCTAGGAGTGGAATTCCTGGGTCAAATGGTATTTCTGTTTTCAGTTTTTTGGAGGAAACTCCATATTGCTTTCCACAATGGTAGAGCTAACTTACATTCCCACCAGCAGTATAGGAGGGTTCTGTAGGGGCCTCTTTTTTATTTCCTCATATCTTCCAATAATTACTCTTTTATTTTTTTCCCTTCATTTAGTGTATACTTTTATCTTACTTTTTTTTAACTTCTCATTGTCTTTTATTTTTTACTTTTTTCTTTTTATTGTCTTTTTTGTCTTTTTCTTCTCCTCTAATATCTGCTTGACATTTTCCCACCTGCCCCACCACATTATTGGACTGCTTTGTTGAATCCAATCTCATTTTCTCCCAGTCTCCAGAGTTGGTGCCTAAAATATATATCCCAGATCTGTAGTACTACTTCCCGTCCGACTACCACTGCCCCCTAGATCCAGCCGTCAGCGATCCCTCCTCGGTTCTCATGGTAGCTTGCTACCAGTCCCCTGTGTTCACACTCCACCACCCTCTGCAGTCCTTCAGTTGTACAGCAGCCAACATGACCCTTTTCAACAGTAGGCAAATTCTGCCGCTCTTTTGATCAACACTCAAGTGACCCCCCATCTCACTCAAAACAGGTCCACCCAGCGGCTTCAAGACCTTCCAGCACCTGGTTCTCACTGCTTCTGCTTCCCTCTCTTTGTTTGCTCTGCTCTCTCCACGTCTGCTTACTTCCTCAGTCAGACTCCACAGGCTTCTCTCTTAGGGCCTTTGTGTTCACTCTGTCTGAAATGTCTTCGCCAAATTCCTGGATTTCTTCTACCCTTACCTACTTCAGATCTTTGCCAGTTCACCACCCTGTTTAAAATCTCAGTGTTTAACTCTCTGGCACTACCCGTCTCTCTTCTACTTGATTTTTTCCCATAACACTCATCACTTTCTTTGTATATTTTACTTTTTTATTTCACATACTGTTTGTCTGCTCCACTACTTTATAAACCCTGTGATATTGGGGATTTTTATTTGTTTTGTCCATCAATCTTCCCAATACCTAGAGTAGTGCCTGACACATAAAAAGTGCTCAAAAAAATGTGTTGAATGAATGACGGAGTAAATGAATGCCATACCATTTTCAGTGTTCCTAATTAGTTTATTTTACATATCTCAAAGTCTAACTTTGAGACTCTTTTTAGCTTAAAGATCTTGTTCCAGTACTAGTTGCTAAGGTTATAATACCAGTTCTTTGTCTGTATAATACAGAATTCCTCCTTGTAACCATGGAGCAGGGCTCTATTCTGTTATTCTAAATACAGTTCATATACAGAGTAAGACCATCTCTTTCTGAAATTGATTATATGTCTGATATTTTGTATAGCTGCCACACTAGGCTTCCTCCAATCTGATTATTCTCTGTCACACTTGGGACTTCCTGTGCAGATTCTGCTATTCTCAGTTGCTCTTAGCCACACTTAACACATAATATGGAATTTGTGGGTTTTTTTTTTTTTTTCTGTCTCCTTTGCTGAGCATGTAGCAATTTTTCCCCTATTCTCCTTGTTGCTCAGTATGGTTTGCAGGAGAAAACAGAAATTTTACAGCTAAGCTGTCGTAAGTTTCTATCAAACCTGCTTAATTGTGAAAAAAAAAAAGAATATTCAAAAAAATAAAAATAAAGGAAATGACCCCCAGAATGGGAAAAAATGTTTGCAAATAATATATCTGATATGATTTAGAATGCAGTATCCAGAATATATAAAGAGTACTTAAAACTCAACAATTTAAAAATTACTGAAGGATTCGAATTGACATTTATCCAAAGAAGCTACACAATTGACCAGTAAGCACATAAAGCTATGCTCAATATCACTAGTCATCAGGGAAATACTAATCAAAACTACAGTCAAGTACCCTTCACACTCAAGAGATTGGCTAAAATAAAGGCAGTAACAAATGTTGACGAAGCTGTAGAGAAATTGTTGGTGGGAAAGTGAAATGGTGCAACCACTTTGGAAAACAGTTAAACACAGAGTCTAGCTCTCAAAAGTTAAGCACAGTTATCATATGATCCAGCAATTCCACTCCTAAATACAGAACCAAGACAATAAAAAAGATATGTCCCCATAAAAACTTGCACATATGTTCAGAGCAGCATCACCTTCAATAGCCCCAAAGTGGAAACAGCTCAGTGTATATCAACTGGTGAATGAATAAAATGCAGTACAGTAGTCGCTCCATCCATCCATGGTCTCACTTTCACGGTTTCAGTTACATGCGATCAGTTGTGATCTGGAAGCAGATGATCCTCCTGACATATTGTCAGAAGGTCAGGAGTAGCTTAACATGTCACAGTGCCTACATGCTTCACCGCACTGCATCTCATCATGTAGGCATTCTGTCACCTCACATCCTCACAAGAAGAACGTGAGTACAATATAATAGTATATTTTGAGAGAAAAAGACCACATTCACACAACTTTTATTGCAGTATATTGTTGTTATTCTATTTACTTATTAGCTATTATTGCTAATTTCTTATTGTGCCTAATTTAGAAACTAAACTTAGGTATACATGTATAGGAGAAAACAGTGTATGTAGGGTTTGGTATTATCTGTAGTTTCAGGCATCCGCTGGGTGTCTTGGAACAGGTCCCATAATGGGGGACTACTGTATATCCAAAATTGGAATATTACTGAGCCTTGAAAAGAACTGAAATGCTGCTACGTGCTGCCACAGGCATGAACCTTGAAAATACTGTGTGATGTGAAAGAAGCCCGACACAACATGCCACATATGATTCCTTTTCTGTGAAATGTACGGAGCAGGCATATCCATAGAGACAAAGTACATTGGTGGCTTCCAGGAGCTGAAAGGAGGAGAAGCAGGGGTAACTGCTGGGAAGTACAGGGCTTCTCTCTGAGGTGGTGGAATGCTCTGGAATCAGTGCTGATCCAAGTGGCTGCGTAGCTTTGTGATGAGCTGCCACTGACCGTGTACTTTCGAAAGGTGAATATTATGCATGTGAATTACATCTCAATAAAAAGATGTTAAAATGTAGAAGTTGAAGTGTTCAATAATGTCAGATGCTGTTGATGGTCAAATAAAACAAGCTCAGAGCTGCTGTTGAACTCGTAATTGATTGTTGATCATTTTATCATTGAGCAGTGAACTTAGCATTTGATCACTGGTGACACTGATGAGAATGAATTAAGTGGAAAGATGAATTGCAGTGAATTGAGGGAGAGGTGGCAGGTATAAGTGAATATAGACTTTTTAAAAAAAACTTGACAGTAAGCTTCAGAAAGCAGGAGAGAAGAGTGCAGCTGAAATGAAATATAAAATTGAGGTGGTTTGCTTATGAAAGATGCTAAGAGCCTTTAGCATGTTGTGAGGAGGAACTAACAGTGAGGGAGAATGTAAGTGTAAGAAAGGATGATTGTTGAAGCAAGGTGCTTGAGGAGTTGAGGGAATGAAAATAAATAGCACAGATGGAGAGATTAAGCTTAAACAAAACAAATGGTGTACATCCCCTGGAAAGGAGAAGGAATTAAAGTTTAGAAATTGTTAAGTTTGTGGAATGTAGCTAAGGAAATTGATGTCATTTCTACAGGACTGACATCAGATTTTCTGAAGCAGGAGGAAAAGGTATTAGCTGAGAATGAGGGCAACAAGGTAGAGTGTAGAGACCCCAAGGGGGGTAAGGAGGGTTGGAATAGATGCAGGGGAGCTCAAGAATAACTGTCAGTGGTAATAAAATGATAGGAACTCCTCTGTTGTCATTGGGTATGGAGGTACTTTACCTGGATTATATTTATCATTGTAATAGAAAACTGAGGCTCAGTGTGGCTGAATAGCATTCTTATTGTCAAATGGAAAGTGGTGGTGGTGGGAATTAGAAATCACAGATATGTGATTTCAGAAGTACATTCAGACTTTAGCTGATAGGCTGTCATCATCAGTGGGTATTTATTGTCATGAGCATTGTCTTTCGTGTTTTGACTTAGCATTTCACTTGCATGCTTGAGACAGAAAGGAAGGAGATGGAAAGAATCTTTTATAGTTAAAGCATGTTTTAAGAGTTGAGTAAATGCCTTTTCTCCGTATCTTGCAGTTACGACAGCCTCCAGTTAAGCGGTTGAGACTTCGTGGTGATTGGTCAGATACAGGACCCCGAGCAAGACCTGAGAGTGAACGAGAACGAGATGGTAACTAGACTTTGGTCAGCTTTTAAAAGACGTGATTTTAAAAATTAATATTTTTAACTTGCTTATAAGTGATACTGCAACAAACATCCTTGCATTTGTGTGTGTTAATATGTGTATACACTTAACACATCTGTGCAGATGCATTATAGGATAAATTCCTAAAACTGGAGTGGCTGGGCCACTGGATATGTACATTTTAACTTCTGTAGCTATTAAATTGCTCTCCAAAAAGAATTCACCACTTTACATTCCCACAGAAAGTATAAGAATGTCCATTGCCTCATAAAACATTGGGTATTATAAACTTCTTAATTTTTCCCTTTCTGTTAGATAAGGAGAGAAATAAATTTCCAAACTGAGAGTTTTATAGTAGCACATAAAATTTTTTTCCTTCTGTTTTGTCTTTGACAACCATAAGAAACTACCTTGGGAGTTTTAAGAAGGCACTCTTAAAGTAGCATTAATCTGTGTGTAGTTCAGTAAGTGGGTCTGTAGCCAAAACTTTATTCTGATGACCTCTGAAATCTTTTAAGATCAAAAGCATATTCCTCAATGTATTATTGTCGGTATTATTTTACAGTATATATTTAAATATAAAGCTACATTATATAAAGGCAATACAATGTAAAATAAAGTATATTTTCACAGAAAATTCAAGAACAGTTTCCATTTTAAATTATATGATTGTAGAATAAAATTTTCAGTTTAAATTCCATGCCATGCTTGAAAATGCCCTTAACAGAAAACTCATACATTTGAAGGAGGAAAAATGTGGAGTAAAGAGAAAAATAAAACACTTTCTGGTTTCAGTTAATTTCAAATATATGGAATTTGCTTATTGTAAATGATGAAAATAAATTCAGTTTTGGTAAATAAAAGCGAGAGGGCAAAACTTACTTTTAAACCATTCAACTGACAATTCCTGAGTTCCTTCGAGCTGTGCACTCTTGGAAATAAAGGTGTGGATTGAAATTAGGACAGGAGGTGTGGTGTCTAAGGAAAGTCAAAGATGTAGGAAATGTAAGTCCTGTTCTTGAGGAACTCAGGATACAGATGGAGAGCCACTCGGATAAACATTTACTATGAGATGCGGCCGTAGCTCTAGGAGCTTTATATACAGCCATATAATTTATTCAGGCAATGTGATTCTTTTTTTTAAATCGCTTTCATTTTAAAGGCCTTAAAATCTAGTTTTTTTGCATTAATGAAAGAGCCTGACTTATTGAATTCACTGATAAGATCTGTGTTGTCATAGGAGAGCAAAGTCCCAATGTGTCATTGATGCAGAGAATGTCTGACATGCTGTCAAGATGGTTTGAAGAAGCAAGCGAAGTTGCACAAAGCAATAGAGGACGAGGAAGATCTAGACCCAGAGGTAACTTTTCTTAAAAAGTCATCAGAAAGCTGACAAAAACACATTCATTAAAGCCAGTTTTACTTGTATCATCTAATATATGCCATGTTTTATATCTATAGTAATCACAAAGTTCTTACTGTATTGTGTGAAGCAGGAGAGAACCGGGGGTATTGGGTATAAAATTTGTCCCTTCAGGTTGCACTAGACCTAGTGTTTATTTTTTGCTTTTCTCAAAAAAAAAAAAAAAGCGTCTGATATTCCCTGCTGTGAGTCTTTTTTTTATGCACTCTGTGAATGCAAATATATAAAACTCCATAAATACTGAGTTTTACATAATTGAATAGTTTCTCCTTTTGGTTACTTACATAGTTTGGTTATTAGTTATTGTTTCTGGTGTTTGCTGACCTGTTTTCATATCTTGGTTCATTCTCTTTGGTTTTGTGGTCTTTGGCAAGTTATTTATCTCTGCAAAAATGAGGAGTGTAAAAATTAACTCATTAATGTTTTAAATCCCAAAACAAAACTATTGAGTTTCATCCATACATGGTTCTTATTAACTCCCATGTATTAATTAACTTTTAAAAAATTCCTTGGACTATGAATTTGCCTAGATACTAAATTTGTGCTTAAATGTAAGAAATATTTAAAACATGGTGATTAAAAGAAAAAATTTCATGTTCTGTGATAGTTGCATCTTATAAGATGTGAATTTGGTTAGTCCATTCCATCTTTTAGTAAAATCTTGATTTGAAGCAAAATCAGGGAAATTTTTAATGTTCATTAGATATTCTGAATTACTCCTTTACAGATGGTTAGCACAAAGCCTACCACAGCGTACTGCAGACACTCAAGCCTTCACATCCTCACTGCGTCAGTCAGTTACCGGGCAGAACATCACTGCCAATGAACAGGAACAGAGACTTCATCCTGTTCCGACCTATTTGCAGCTCTACTCCTGCCAGTGCAATTTTTCTTAAATATTTTACTAAAGACATAATGTTATAGAGTAGAAACCTATCAATATAAATCCATTATGCCATTATCTAGCTATTAAATTAGAATCATCTTCAAATTTAAGGGATTAGACATTACCTACAGGCATTTCACAAGTGCTGTTTGCTTTGTCTTAACGAAGTTACCATACTGAGCACTTCGCTTAAAAGATTATTTTAACAAGAATGTGCAGTAGATGGATTTTTTACTCCTCTTAATTAGCCTATTTAGTCAAATGCACCAGACCACCAGTTAAGTACTTTTGATTTCCTGAAATTACACATTTCCGTGTACGTATGCAAGTGTGTATTTCCCAAACATCTCTAGTTGTAGAGTGGTTGGTTTTAGAAAGCCTTGGTATTTGAATTTGCATTAACACGTGTTTCTTGAAGGGGGAATGAGCCAGTCAGATGCTGCCACTCCTCCTACGGTGCCGTCACACACCGACCTGGAAGCGGGAGAGACTGCGATGGAAGTGGACTCGCCTGCGGAGCAGCCTTGCACATCCTCTGCGCTGGCAGCGCAGACCCCGTCGGCACCCCTTTCCGCAGCAAGCCCTCGTGTTGCTTCGTTGTCCCCGCCAGACAGTGAGCGAAGGCAGTCTGCTGAGGCGTCCGGACACCATGCACATGATCAGTCTGGTGAGGATGTCGCTCTTTCCGCGGGCTGTGCTTCATCCGATGAGTTCTCATGATGAAAAATTCCTTATGGGCTCTTTTGAAAGATAGTGAATCACAGCAACTTGTTCTCGTGGCATAAAGATCAAATGACATAATATGTGAACATGTAAGTTAAACACATTTGCCTAATTTACATGGAATTGAATGAAGAGCAGGAATCTTCAATTTACCTAAGACAATTCTTTAAAAAACGCAGGCACCATAGTTTAATAATACACTTGACTTAAGTATTATTTTTATAGACCTTTATAGACCAAAGTACTTACTGGGTTCTAAATCTGTATTTAACTGTTAGTGAAAATATAATCCGATTATTAGTTCCATTATGTTTTAATACATTCTGTATGGTGCATTTGATATGGTCTCTAATCAACAACACATATAATTTACCAAAAGTGATTTTTCCTACATTTACATGAAGAATTATTTTAACCATCTTTATCTTCTTGGTACTTGATGTCAGTGAAAAAAATGAATTCTTAAGTTCTTAATGTTCAAATACTATTTTCCTCATGTTTAAGTATTTTCCCCTCCAACTATCTATATTATACTAATATAAATACTAATATTTATAACAATTTTTAGCAGATATGTCTATAGTTTACTCAGCATTTTAACTGTATACATTTAATTATAATAACCACTAAGATTTTATTCATATTTTTCTTTGGGTTCTTTTAAAGAAGATTTTACTTGACATATAATCAAAAATATTAGCGACTAGAGATATAGCTGGCAGGCTTAAGCTAATGCCTATAAAAAATTCCTAACAGCTTAACTGCCAAGCTGTCACTTTATTCTTACTTTTCTGGAATCTGATTCCAGATCACCAAATATGGGGTGTTTTAAATTAAGCACTCTTTTATCAGCATATCCCATTTTTGGTAATTCATTTTGTTTCTATGGGAATAGAAGTCAGAGTCAATTGCATAAGTGTTAACACTTGTGTACAATTCATCTGTAATGCCAAGGTAATGCTGAGCTGTAAAGTGAGCGTTCCCCACACTAACAAATTAGGTAGCATTTCAACTCACAGGGAAATAAGTATTTTGGAGAGTTTGGGGAGTAGGGGCAGAATTGGTTAAAACTTGGCTTTTCAAAGCAAGTAAAGTAAAAACAAATTTTTTTAAGGTGATGGCATTCTTGGAAATACTTTGGTTGGTTGTAAATTATCAGGAAAATTTAAAAAGAAAATTCCCTAGCTCATGTTTACATTCCTCTGGATCCTAACTTAATTCCATTTGTTTCTTAACAACATTTATGAGTAAAGTACTCAGTTTGGATTTTCATTTTTCTTTTTTGTTATAGATATGTAACACGTTTTAATGCTACATGTCAAATTGCTAAATCCCTTTCCATATTTAATGTAAATATAAATACTACAGTCATTTGAGTCATTGAAATAGGAAATAATCCATTTTTGTGATAATCATGTTATTGTTGTTTGAACATAACTTGGTACCTTCACCTATACATTTTTCAAAGAAAGTAAGGAAATATTTTTAATTGGTAGATTATTAAAAGCATTTTGGCTGACTAAACTGGAAAATTGGAGTATTTCCATGCCACCAGGCTGTGTCCCCCTTGAGGAGAATGATGAGACATCAGAGTGACACCCAAGGATTATGTCTGCAGTGGCCTCGACAGTGGGCCTTTCCTTATCCCAGATTCCAGCCTTACAACAATAAGGAGTTAATGCTTTTTTTCCCCCCAGTCTGTTTATGCAGTCTAGATGGATTTGTGGGTAATAGGAGTTGTCTGTGTCGTGGGTTAGAGTGTCCTCTTAGAGCCACGATTTCCTTTATTGTCTTGCACAGAGATAGAGAAACAAGCATGCTTCCTGCCCTGCTGTGCATTCCTCTCCGTGGAAATGTTCATGCCTTTCCTACGTCTCCCTTGCATTTCCTCTGCTGCTTTTGCCTGGGGTTAAGGCAGGGGACGATGAGAATGTGAAAACCTGCCTGGCAAAAATGCCTTCTCCGATTGAGCCTAATTATTTGCCCTCTCCTAGTCTGTAGCTGAGTCACTGAATGCTGGGGAAGAGGGTCACGAGCACACCTTCCCCTGGGCGCTCAGCAAGTTGTCAGAGCAGTCCTTGAGCACTGTTGCTCAGCAACTCGACAGGATGTTTCGCACCTTCACATCTCTCAGACTTCCAGCACTCCCCCGCGGTGAAGGATAACCTCTCTCACTGCTGGGAAGAAACCCTCACTGTCTTGCCTTTGAATCTCCTAGCTCTCTGGCATCTGAACCCACATTTCCTGATGGAGCAGACCCATCTGGGGAAGCGTGTGCTCCACCAGGGGCTGGCCAGCGCAGTTCCCACCCTTCCAGCTGCCCAGGGGCACTGTGCTCCTTCCCCTGCAGCATTGCTGTTACTGCCTTTTCTGCTGAATTGTTTCTTTGGGCCTTAAACTTGCTCTGCTGTTACCTCCTATCTTTAAAAAATCCTCTTAATCATCTCACATTCCCCACCGGACTTACAGCTTTGCTGCTTTTATGATCATTCTTCAACAGTTGCTCACAGGTACTATCTCCACATTCTTACCATCTTTCATTTACTCACCAACCAACTCCAATCTGCCTTTCAACACTTTTTCCACCGAAACTTTCTGTCAAAGTCACCAGTGACTTCTGTTTTGCCAAATTCAAAGTACATGCCTCTTAGTATCTTACCAGATTTTTTGACCCAGTTAATTTAACAGAGTCTGTCACTCCTTTCTTAAAACACTTTCTTTTCTTCGCATCTGTGACAGCACTTTTACCTGCTTATTCTTCCTATCTTGGCTGCTTTTCAGTGACTACTGTTGGTGTTTCTTCTTTACTTCTGAATGTTTTAGTGGAACCCTTCATCTGTGCTCCCTTGTCTGCATACACTGTGGGGGGGGGTTGCATCAGTTCCCATAGCTTTTACTATCTCCCCTAAGATGATGATTCCCAGCTGTATATCACCAATTTGATGTTCTGCCCTGACTTACAGACTCCTATGGCCACCTGCTTACTTAACACTTCTTTTTGGTTCTCTTCGGATAGCTTAAGATTAATGTTTCCAAACTAATTTAGCCTCTTACCGTTTCTGTGAACTAATCCCTCCCATCTTGGTCATTTTATATCTTAGTAAATGAAAATACCACCTACCCCACTTGCTTATTTTAACAGCTTATGAGTCATTGTTCATGCCTTGCTTTCCTTTACGCCCCGTGCGTGCAAAATTCATCAGCAAGTCCTGTTGTTTTGTGTCTAAAACACATTCCACCTCTCTTCATTTCACCATCATTTCTTGTCTGCTAATTGATCTCCCTGCATTTGCTTTTGCTGTTGCTATAATTCATTCTCCATGCGGCAGCCAGCATGAGTATTGTGAAACGTTCAGTCAGATTACATAACTTGGAGGTCTAAAATCCCTCAAAGACTTCTAATTGAATTTAGAAATATAACTGCAAAAGAAAAAAATTAGACTCCTTACTGTGAACCTGTAAGAACTGCGTGGCTGGCGCTCGCCTGCCTCGGCGTCGCCTCATACCGCCGGCTCGCGCTCCCACTGCGCTGGTTCCTTCTGGTTCCTTGAATGTGCAGGTTCCCTCCAGCCTCTGGGCTTCTGATTCTGAGCCTTTGTACCCCCTGTTCTCTGTGCTCGAGGAGCCCTTCCCCTTGCTTACCTTAGAGTCAGCTCCTTTCTCCTTGGGTCTCAGCTCGAATGTCACCCAGAGGAGTTCTTTCATCAGTCATCACCCTGGGTAGATTCGTCTTCCTTTCCTACCCTCCCTAAAATGTTACTTTCTTACGTAGCCCTGTTTATTTCCTGAAAAGCACATATTAAAATTTTTCTTGTTCATTTTTGACTGGCTTGTTTTCTTATATTAGAATATGCTCTCATAAAAATGGAGACATTATCTATCTTGTTTTACGTAAGCCTTTTTTTCTCCCAATAATAGTCATTCTCTAAATACACTGTTAAGACTATGTCTTTAACCTGGTATAAGCTATGTGGGATATATTTAGCTATATTTTAGTCTTTATAGTTTCAGTCCCAGTTCATCCGTTCTGGATGCTTCCAGTAGACTCCCCAGATTTGATAATACCTGGGGAAGATGCATGCATGGATACCCAGTCTTCTACTGTTTTGGATCCATTGTTTGCCTTTGGCTGTCCAGACCACATAAGACTGAGTAGATATTTTTTTCTTACTTTGTTCCAGAAATATTTTAAGGTAACTTACAGAAATACTTAAAAAAAATAATTTTCGTAAATGATGAAATCCAAATAAACAAGTATGAATAGGAAAAAAAAATGAAATCACAAGTGAGATGAATATACAAAATGCGTTACCTGAAAAACAGTGTATGTAGAGGGGGTCAGAGTTGGCTTTGGGTTTGTAGCTGAATTAGGAAAATAAATACACCAAGTGGAACTTGAAATCAGTTTGGTAGATCTTTTTTTATATTTTGACTTCTTCCCCCTTTGTATTCTTGAATTTTAATTTACATAGTCATTTGAAACGCTATTCTGTATGCATAACCCAGAATTTAATCAGGTATTTTGATTCTTGTATTATACCTGATATGGCTTATGTGTGGATTCTGGCTTATTTGCAGAAAAACTATGTCTGCTCAGATATGCAGATTTGTTTAGGTCTGTTTAGACTCTTTAGCTAAATTATGCTCTATGTAAAAAAATTGCTCTATAGAAAAAAATCTGTTGTACAGCATAGCAAAGCAAGCTGTTCAAAGCCTAAATGTCCAGATTATAGTTTCCTTAAAGGGGATCAGGGTCTAGTGAGACTCTATAGGCAATTTACAGATTAGACACTAGTAGAACTCTTCAGTTAAGGGCCACTTTGGGGGAACTGAAGAAGAAACCAGGGGAACTTGGATATCAGTAAAGGTGTGACCACTTCAAGGAGGAAAAAGCACAGGGATCCCCAAGAAGCAGGTGGGGGACGAAGGGCAGACTTATAGCAGGCACTTAAAGTACAGCCGGATTTGGCCAAGTACTCAGAGTCCAGGACAGAAGACCCTGCACACCGGAGGGCAGGACATGAAGCTAGAACCAGGTGGATCTTCACCGGGTCAACTGTGCACTATATTCTTCTCTTTCAGTGGGAATCAAGGTCAGGGAACCTAGCCTGGAATCTTCCAGAAGAAAACAAGAATAGGGATAGCAGTTTTAGGGGATGAAAGTAAACATTTCCTGCTAGCAGGTACTTTTTTTTCAAACCCCACATTATTGAGGGCTTTCTGCGCTTTTAAAATTCAACCCAAAGGTATTTATTGTATTCACTTTCCATTTTGAGCTGATGTTAACAAAAACTAATTCTCCAAGCATTCATGCACATTATAAATTATATGTTTGTTTATACATTTTTAAAAGGATATAATGTGTGTGTATCTTACCTGCCTTTAATATTTCAAATTGCTAGCAGAACTATTTGTTTAATCTGGCATTGATTGACATGTCTGGTTGGAATTTTTAATTCAGTATTTGCCTATTCTAGTTAGCTGTGGTGACTTCTCTTAGCCTCTTTTTTTTTTTTAACCTAGGTTGGGGGTGGGAAAATGTACCAACTAGCAAACAAACGCTTCTTTAGAAAGCACTGCAAGAATTGAATGAATGGTTCATGACATTATCATAACTAAATCTTGATTTTCTAAGTTATAGAACATTACTGCTTGTGCTCATAGCCTGCTGTTTATATGCCAAATCACGTAGTGGGTCTAGGATGGAGACGTTTATATCTCCATGAAACATTTGGCAGCATAAGAGAGGATTTGAAACAACAATGAAGTTAGGTGAATTTTTTGTTATTTTTCTTAGCAAAATTTGACATACGTGTAATCTTTCTCTGTATGATAATTTAAAATGTAAAATGATAAACTTTATGACTCATAATGTTTTATATTGCTAAAAGCATTACTATTATGCTGACAATAAATAAGATACATGTATATGCCTGAGAAGAAGGCACTATGCCATTGAGCATCACAATTTGTCAATGAATGCTGTCCTCCTTGGTGCTGGAGAGTTCTCTAGGAAGAATTGGCAAGGAGAGACTATGATGATACTTGGGTTGCTTGTTAAATCTTAACTGCCAGTTGGCTAATTGAATAAAATTCTTTATAAATAGAGGTCATGGTAACAAGACCTTAGTATTTAGTATCTCTGGCATGATTGATTTCTAAAACAATAGAACAAATTTTACATTATGTTGTATATATGAGATTTCCATATAATCTTTGTAAAAGAGGCTGACCACTTTTGGTAGTTCGTGTAATTTGCTGCCAGTTTACTGAGGGAAAGTCTGTGTGCTGCTCCCACCACCAGATCTACGACAGCTCTCTGCCATGTATTCTGCCTCCCCTTTGGCTGTGGAGGATGGTGGTTTTTTGCACCTCTGAGAGCCCAGTTCTTCTTTGTGTCACATACAACCATCTTTGGTGTGCTCCAGGCCACCGCTCCCGCACATGCCCCTGTCTTTCCATGTGTCACTCGGACTCCTCCTCCCAGGTGAACACTGTCCATCAGCATCCAAACATGCAGGACCTCCCAAACTAAAAACAACCTCCCTTGACTCCTTACTCCCCACCAGCAATCATCCGGTTCCCTGTTCACGTTAGCAGCGGGACTCTACAAAGGGTGTGTATGCTTCATATCAACTTCATTACCTTCACCTTCCCTTGAACCTGTTCCCATCAGGTTTTGGCTTCTGCGATTTCACTGAAAGAGCTCCTGTCACGATCATTGGTGACTCCCACGGTGCAAAATCCAGTGCTTAGTCCTCAGTCACTGTCATTTTCATTATACCAGCAGCACCACCACAGCTGCTTAGGGCCCCCTAGACACACTCCCTCCGTGCAGCCTGCGCACTCTGCTCCTCGGGCTCCTCCTTCCTACTCTTCCCAGAGATTTCTCTCTTAAACGTCTGAGTGTCCCAGGGTTCAGTTCTCGGACTTCTTCATCATTACTTACTCTCTGGTTGGCTTACAGCAGCGTCGGTAACATCCAGACTTGCTGGTAGATTCCAGGCTGCTATGTTCGGACCCCACTCGGGCTCTCTGCTTGGATGGCTGTTGCTTCTTTTCCTACGTTGAGCACGGCATGCTCCTCCCCGATGCTTCCCCATCACAAGAAGTAGCGACTCTGTTTTGCCTGTCACCTAGGTCAAACTCTCTGGGCCCACTCTTTGAACTATCAGCGGATTCTTCTGCTGTTCCCCATAAGGTGTACCCTGCATCCAGGCACACCTCTCCTCTGAGCATGTGCACTTGCCTTCCCTCCACCTGGAACATTCTCCCTCCGGATACCCATGTGGTTTGCTGCCTTATGTCCTAAAGGTCTTTGTTCAGACATCATCTTGGGAGGGAAGCCTTTCTTAATGACGTGCACAAAACAACCCTCCCCCCGCTGCCCCCTCCCAGTTACCGTAAACCCCTAATCTGCATCATAGCACTTATTCCTACTTGATGCATACCAATACGTACATGTATATTGTGTATGTGTGTGTGTATGTATGTGTTCACTGACGTGCTTTCTGCTCAGAACATAAACTTCACACAATAGGACTATTTTGTTCAGGATTTTATTTAACCCGAGATCTTAAAACACTGCCTTATACATAGTAGGCACTCTGAATATCTCTGTAATATTGCATGTTTTGTTTCTTTTTTCCATGATCACTACTTCAGGAAAAGTTTAAGAAAATATGAAATGTTATGTAAATATTGTTGAGTATAAAAAGCAGAAAAAGTAAAAGATAGTTCTGACATAAAAAGAAATAGTTGAAAAATATGCTACTTTCACTTTTTAAAGAGCTCTCCAATTCCGAGAATTGTTACCAAATGCATCACGTTTTTGTAATTTCAGTTTAATTTTAATTATCATTTGATTGAAATTAGTAATTTTTGTGTATAGATTAGATAATGGACATTTTCCAATTAGATAATTTCTGTTTTTCAGTTTTTCTTAGTATCATTTTGTTGTAAAGAGATAAAATTGGTGATAAAGGAATGTTCATTTAAAAATGCTTATGGGAGACTTTATTTTCATTCATTTAAATTAAGTATTCTTAGAGAACTCTATGTGGATAATTCATCATAGTTAAACAGAAGTATTTAGGTGTGAAAATGTTTATAGTTTGTAATTTAATGCTCAATAATTCCTTTTTATGAGTAATTTGCATTTAGTACTCCTCTAGGAGACATGTGCTCTGTTTGTATCCTTCTCTCTTTAACGTATAATCAAAGTCTTATGTTTTCTGTTACTCTCTTTTCACCTTTCTTTCCTACCTGTGTCAGAATTTTTAAGGGGGCCTGAGATAGCTTTACTCCGTAAGCGTCTTCAGCAGCTGAGGCTTAAGAAGGCTGAGCAGCAGAGGCAGCAGGAGCTGGCTGCGCGTGCCCACCCACAGCCTTCCGCTGCCCATCGGCCTTCACAGGAGGGCTCTTCACAGGACCCTCAGGCCTCAGGTTATTAATGTCCCATGTCCTTAAGCAGCTGCTAGAGTGGGTTTTTTAACACTGCCATGTGTAATGAGATGCTTCGTTTTTCCCCTTCAAGAAAGGGAATGGATGCGCTTGCAGCCTGCCCCTCCCCTTCTGCCGATGCTGGCGGTCACTGTCTAGGGGTTCGATTGCAGCAGCGTTTGCTGGAGAGATGAATATGAAATAATCTGTTATTTTATTTGTTATATATTTGGAGAGGGGCTAATGTTTATTAGTTTTACAGCTAATGAACTACTTTCTAATTATCTAGTGACTTTAGAGCCTGCTTTGGTTTTTCTACTGCAATTTCTTACATGCTGAGATCTTACCTATGCTTATGGCTCCTAGATCTACTTTTTTTTTTTTCGCTTTGGAAGTTAACCAGTATAACCATTGTTCCTGTCCCCAAATAAACATAGCAATCAGTGCTAGAATTTAAATCCTAGTATTGTTTGGCCATACTAGCATGCTGACTGATCACCCCCTTCTGTATTTATTTGAATTTTAAAAATATTTGCTTACATATGCCTCATATAGATAATCAGCTTTCTGATGTGTAGGGTAAGGGAAGTATTTCACAGTCTCATGTTTCTGTTCTTTGCTATGGAACTCTGGTAAGACAGAAATAATCTGAGCCACTCTCTTTTTTGCACTGAGCATGTTAATGGCCCAGTTCTTTTATGGCCAGAAAGCTCATGATGCTCAACAAACATTTGTTGAAAGAACAAATGAAAGACAGAGATAAAGTAATGTATCAGCTTAATCCTTTCAAGCTGGGTAATAGTACTACTACACCTCCTATGCTGTCCTGGGTGCCATGTGTTAGGTTATGTAAATCTTTATTTAGGAACTGAAGTGTAACTGGGGTCTCATGCTAATGGGATTATAATACTTTGATACATTACTTTGTCTTATCCTAAGGAGTGATGAGTTTGGGTGTTAATTACTTTGAGAACTCTGATTTAATTACTTACAATTTTTATATTGGTAGAAATGGACAGCATCCACTTTAGAAATAACTGTTCTACTAAGTGCTGTGATAACAAAAGCACATTATAAATTCCATGGTGAAATAAAATAGATCTAAATAACTTTAATGTAGGTACGATGCTTGGGACAAATTTTGTACCATATTTTTAGTGACCGTATTATATTAATAGAGGAAATATGAGGTAAGCAAAGAAGTGTCTACTATAGATAAATCTTTTCCTATACTTAAAACTATCAGTTTGATTAGATTATAGTTATGACATTTAATAATATTTTGCTGTGATTTTGTGCTATATATGAAACTAGCTAAAGTGTTTCAAAAGTAAAAAGTATATAACAGAAAAACCAGTAAGAAGGAAGATAAAATGTCCCTACATATATAAATATTTTTAAAATACTAAAATTCAGCAGGTAACAAACCAAGTATTAAAGTGAATTTGTGTGTAAAACAAAACCGTTGATAGGAAAGAGTGTACTTTGGTGGGCATGCTGAGAGAATCAGGCTTTCACATCTCATTCATCAATTTGAATTAAAGCAGGGTCTTTTTAGTTTCAGAAGACTTTAGGATTATAAGGTCTTGTGAAATAAGATACTGTTTTCCCAACTCTAAATATCATTCTTATTAAATAGTATATTATTTGGTAACCAGTCTGTTTGTTGTAATCTTCAGAAAGCTAAGATTGAGTAGACACCTTGCCATTTAGAAGTGGAGAAACATGTTCTTTCCTTTGTTACTCAACAGCCTCCTGGGCCCTGAGGTGACCCACATGGACCACTATTGGAGGCCCCAGTGCCATCACTCATTGTAGGTGGCTCTGCACCACAGGGCGCTAGCTGCTCCTTCTGTCCAAATGCCTTTAAGTTGGCATTCGTGAGACACCAGTGCTTCTCATCTGCAGCATACCCTGGGTTCATTTGGTAGCACTACTTTTATTCTGTCCTTACTGGTCACAGGAACACTACTGTGGTGACTAAAAGCTTTAAGAACAGTTAGATAATGTGTTAGTATTTTACAGAGGATAACTAATAAAATCTATGTATTTTGTCCATATAATAAATTTGGATTTGAGGAAAAATGAGTTGGCTTCATGCAGGGTTCTTCATTTCAGAATGCATGAATTATGTAGAACAGGATTAAATTTATTAAATTCAGCAGGAAGATAGATTTTATTTGAATAACAGTAATTAAAATGTTTTCTTATACTTAATGATTAAATATAACTTTTTATATGTATATTGTAGACAATGATTGATCCATTTTCTCATGCTAGTTGTTACCACTAAAATCATCTTAGTTAATATACAAAGCACCAAAGTTAGTGTTCTAGGTTTTAATTTATTAACAATAGAAGAATGTGCAATTCTCATAGACAGTAAACGTTGTCCCATTATAGTTTGATATCTTTAGAGTATCAGTTAAGTGGTGAGCTGTCAATAAATGATATTTCTGTTGTCTTCTCACATATAAAATATTCAAAGGGAACAATGTGATTGGGTAAGCAAGAAATTTTAACAAGTATAGAATTTCTGAATTATTATCTTGTCTAGCAAACATTTTATTATCTTCTCAAAATACAAGACCCATAAGAATCTTTTGTGAAAGGCTAAGTATAAGATGAATACCTAACTTGAGTGGAAAATAGGACCATTTTGTAGAAATGAAATAATCTACATTTTAATGGGGCCAAATGGGAAGGGGCCTGATGCTAGTTAATGATAATCTCAGATAGGATATATCTATTTAGTTGCTAATATTTCTTGGCAATTAAAGATTAAAACTGCAACATTATTCCAAGGCACCAAATGGTATCCCCTTCTGTTTCAAACTGCTCTTTAAAATGAGCTACGTAAGATAGATGTTAAAAGATCTGTGGTTTTAAACATAAACAGTGGTTTTCCTGTTTTTCTTTTCAGCTATGAACTCTTACCAGACTCTTATGGAAGTTCAAGTATAAAATATATGAAAGTTACACTGCTGTGATTTAAACATACGTAGAGATAAGGAATGATTACACACCTGCTTGCCCCTCTAGCCGCCTCCAGCGTACCTCTGTTCCTGAAGTGCGGTTTGAAAACCACTGCTCTAAAAGAATTTTTGACACCTATTAGTGAAAATTCTTCATAGATAATTTCCAAAAGTTTGAATTTTTAGTCAGAATGTATGACCTTAAAATATTTTTACTTCAATAAGTTAAAAAAACAACACTTATTTTCCCTAGACTTTTAGGAAATATGTCATAACTCATTTCTAACCTCTCAGTGATTTTTTTTTTTTTTATCATAAAGAGATGAATTTGCCTTCTTCAGATTACTGCCTGGGTGTTACACTGGCTGACTTCTTGTCCCTGGCCCTATAACTAGACGACCTTGGGAAGGTCATTTGGCTGCATTATGCCTCCGTTTCTCAATTACTGATTTATTTAGATGTGTGCCCTGTAATAATTTATAGAGATGGCATAAGGATAGGGTAGACAATACCTTATAAACAAAGTTTTTATACATAGAACAGCACATAATAACATACCAGCTTAATGTACAATCATATCTTTAACTCAGTGCCTCAAACTCTCCTCATATCACAGCCACATAAGGTTTATATAGCATTCAGGGTTTGAGCTGTACGTATGCTTATCAGATGAATGCTGTAAACATCTATGGCAGAGGCATTCAGCATATGGCCGACTTTAAACCCAGTCTTTTTTCCATCTCAGGTCCCCTGAAGTCATGGGCTGCTGGCTCCTGCTCAGAGCGACAACACCCTGTGCAGTCCGCTGGCCCTGTCTGGCCGTCCCAGAGCCCCCCTGGAGCACAGAGCCAGCCTAGAGAGAGGGTCAGGTAGGAACTGTTTTTCCACTTTATGGCACGGTTTTGCCTGTTTGAAAAGAAAAGTAATTTTTATACCCCAAGAGGGTATAAAACATTGGTGATTATTTTTGAAGAAGGGCTTTTCAAAACTGAGCCATATTGGAAAAAAACAGCACTTCCCCAGTCTTACGCAGGCAGGCTCTGTACTGCATGCAGTTGCCCACAGGGTCCTGATGACAGTCACGACAGCACCACTCAGACACGTGCGTCAACCTGCGTCTTTAGTGTTGGTGACGTGAGCAGTTAGTTAAGTCAACGCGAATGTTGACCTAGCCCTTCAAGCACCCCTTAACTACTGTGAACAAGAGTTCACAAAACTCAGCAAAACGATGAATCTCTTAGGACTTTAAACACAGGAACATGGTCCATGGTTTTCGAAATAGCTTCCTATCATCATTTTTCATCCAGTGACATCTTTCTGAAAAGCAGCAAGTAGTGACAACACTAACTAGCCCTTTCCTGTGCTGCCTGAGTGTTGTACACGTATTTTCTCACTCAGTCTTCACAAAAGTGGTGTGTGGTAGGTACTGTGATTATCCCTACTTGTTCACAGATGGAGAAACTGAGACTTAGGGATGTTAAGTAACTTGCCCAGGGTTACAGTGCTGAGCAGAAAAGCCAGATTGGAACCCAGGGAGTCTGGCTGAAGAGTCCTTGTCATTTACCTTTTAGACAGTCCTTATTTTTTTCCTATAGTTAAGAAAATTCCGTTGTCAAGGGGCTAAAGAATTTTCTCAAGACCAAAATGCACATTTTTTGGAAATCTACAATAACTGGCCTGGCCATGAGACACCTTGAGCTTAGCTGACAATGAGCTTTGCCTAAAGTTTATCTCTTCCATAAAAATAATATTAATAGTTATAAACATTTCCACTAAACTAACCAGCCATATTGCATTTTGTGATAAACAGACTTCTATTTTATTAGTTGCTTTCTGGAAGATACTTCGCAGAGAGGTGGAGTGGAGAATGCAGACAACTGAGGCAGTCAGCATTGAACTAATTACTGTTTGGTTTAATGTTCGCTACTCTGATGGTTATAGTGTTAATATATATAGTGGAAATATTTTTGTAAGCTAGAAGTTACGGGTATTATATTTATGAATATCTAGTAGTATAAAGCATGTCACTTCGCTGTTTATATGGCAGGAAGATAATCCTTCCAAAACCAGTTGCATGGTTTCCAAGATTAAAAATAGAATGGAGCAATGATCAAGGAGAGTTTCTTCTTAAAGACTGGTCTTCAACATGGGGGAAACAACAAATAATTCCTCAGATATACACAGTATCTTTGACAGACTGTAAAACTAAAAAGGAATCCCTTTTAATGTTATCTTTCTGTCTTAATATAAACTTCATTAATATTTTGAAATCCTTGAAGAGTTTGAAAATGCAGTTCTGTGGAGACGACAGCATTCTAGATCCTTTATCAATTCATCCTTTTGAGATTTACTCTTTCCTAAAGTTTATTTAAAAAATGAAATAAGATGTACTTTATTTCATAAGATTTATACATTCTATGATATTTGTGAAAAACTTAAATATGTGAGAAAAGATTGCTTGGAGATGTGATAGTTTCGTGAAGGCTCTTAATTATTAAATGAGAACACAATGAAATGTTTAACAAATCTGAAGGGATGAAAAATATTTCATAAGAGACTTTCTAGGAGGATTTCCAATATTTATTTCACTGTGATGCATATGTTTGTTATATTTTTCTTTCCTCTAAAGAATGTAATTTTGGTTTTCTCTAAAGACTAATATACCTGTTCTTCAAGAACAACATGGGTAGGAATGCTGTATCTAATGCTGAAATGGATAAATGAGAAGTCTTATAAAGAAAAGTAAGGGATGGGTAGGTTGGGGAACTGATTGAAATGCCATCATTTCTGCTTTCTTTTGTAGTATAGATTTGTTGAACTGAATGTTCTGATGAGGTGATAAGTAAGCATAGGTATAAACTATTATTCAAATCATGATCATGCTTCATCAGTATTAGTGATATAAAAATCTATGAGCAAACTGGTGACCTAACAAGGTAGATAATTTCAAGTTACCACAAGTGCTCCCAGTAGCAGAATTTAGACTTTTGTGGAAGTAATCAAGATATATATATATATATATATAAAATTGCTGAGAATTGAGAATATATTGGAAAACTTCTCTTCGTTATTGAATAAAGATACTCTTAATAAAATACCAACTTTATGGGGAATATAAAGTTCCATTATGAATACAAAACTGGTGATCAACCAAAAGTGCAAGGTTTTTGTTTTATTAACATTTGCTAAGAACTAGAGCATAGGGTATTAGAAACTAGGAATTAGTCTTTCATTTAGGGTAGATCTATCTTACCCACATTTGCCCTTTTAGCGCCCCCCGGGATACTAGAACCTAAGCCAGGACTAGAGCCACCTCCTTGTATCCCCCGGAGGTATGGGTTACTGGTGCCCTAGGATGACCAGGAAGAAAGAAACTTAAGCCTGAAAGTGTTGTGACTTGTCTTATGTCACATAGCTAATTTTTGTCAGAACCAGGGTTAGAATCGAAACGTAGCAAGTCTAGACCATTGCTTTTCCCATTTTATCCTGCTGGCTTCCTTTATATCAATGTTTTTCAAACAGTGGAACCCATTTATAAAACAAATTCTTAGATAGAAAGTCACTGTATCAAGAGGTAATCAAAAATCAAGATGTTCTGTTTGAAGCCAAGGTGGAACCTAGACCAGTAAGCCTGCTTCCTGCCTCTCTCCCTTTTCCCACCAGGCACCTAAGGAAGCCTGAGCCTTCCCAGAGTACAGTTTTAATATATGCAACATACTATAGAGTTTTTAAAGTTAACTGTAATGGAAATTACTTCATTGACATTTTCTCTTATAAACCATTTTCTTTGTCTGACATCTTCACTTGAGCTCCTTTTCCAGCTCAAGGTCCGACACACAACAACTAGCAAAGTGTTGTGAGCATTTCATTTCATGCTTCGATTCCTCCAATCCAGAATGAAAACTGTCTTAAGTTGCTGGAGAGGGGACTTGAGAAGGGGAAGGAGTCTTCTGTTTAGTGAAGGAGATGTTCTTTTTCTTTTTTTATCTACCTTGCACCTTCTGTCTCTGCTAAATGAATTTGATAAAAGGTATATGCATGAAAGTACAAGAATATTTTCACAGCTCATTCTCTAAGTTGCTGAATGCTTGCCTGGAATAACACACCTTAAGCACTTGGCCCTGCTCACTCACTGCTTGGGACTACACCCCAGCTCACGTGGTTGCCTGCCCCGAAGCATCTGCCCCTTAAGCTTAGAGACAATCATGACATTGCTGTGCAGTTTGCTGCCGCTCACTTTTAAGTTGAAATCTCATTTTTGTTTCAGATTCTCCTTCTTCTGTGGTTAACAAACAGCTCGGATCCATGTCCCTTGACGAGCAACAGGGTGCGTGCGACAGGAGCTGCGCTATGCCTATCCATGCATAGTTTTATTGCAGTGCATAAATCAAGCTCTCTCTCACTTTTCCATAGCATTTCATTTTGATTATGGTCTGTAGTCAGTATTTCATGAGCTAAATTACTCTAAGTGGTACTATACATAAAGGGCCTTCTTGGCCTGTACAGATTATTTTCTGTGTAAGCTAATTTCTACCTTTGGCCCCTTGTGCCAATATTGAATTTGCTTCCTCTAACAATATGGTAATGGATATAAGCTATATCCATTTTTAAAAAAACTCTAGGTATCTCTTGTAAATTGTACAGAACTGTAGTTGTGAGGTTACCATCTTACCTAGTGGCTAATTTGGAAAAGGTCGTTCGAATATAGTGATGAATCTGTATTACTATATAACTTGCTGTAGTAATGGCACTTGGTTTTTATCACCCTCTTATCTGGTTGTCAGACTCCTGAGAGCTTTAACTACAGGGAATGCAACCATGAACCCAGAGTCAGAAGGGAAAATAGCTTCCACCTCCCCTTGTACTTTTTTGGAGTAGGAGAGTCATAAAACCAACCTCAAAGGGTTGAGCAGAACCTGATGACTTAGACAGATTAATTGTTGAGTTCTATTACTAGCAGATCAAATACAGCACAGAGAGGGGTTGGTAGGGGAAGCCATTCAGACATCAAGGAGGGGCAGCTAAAAAGAGGGATGGGCAGAGGAAACTGTAGAAAACTAGCAGGTGTTTAGAATTAGGGCAAACAGCCTTACAGCAGCGCCTCCGAATTCTCTGGGGCACTTTAATGTATAGTGACATGGATGGCAAATAATGTTAAGTTATCAGGAATAACTTAGTACTTTTCACTATTTAAAAAGGCTGATGATTGCCTACTAAATTTTACAAGTATTTTTCAAAAAATTTAAAGAAATAACTTAGCACTAAGACCATAAACTTTAGGTTTCTGGAAGTTTACATATGTAGGATGACTCATTTGTCAACAATAGTATTGGAAAAATTAAATATTGCTGATATAACTATTTGTTAAAGACAGATTTTAAAACTCCTTATTTGCTTCCAAACTTAAATTCTTTATTTATTCTTTATAGACCTGAGATGATAAGCATTGCCACAGGGTTTTCTGTTCTTGAGAATGAATAAATGAATGAATGAAGTGGCAGATGAATTTGGGAACTAAGAAGTTAGCATGTTTTATTGTTATACATTGTATTTTTATACATGTATTAACAGTGAAGAATAAGGTAATATACAGTGATAGCATCTTAATATAATACATTGTACTAGTGCTTAAAACTGCTCTCTGATCAATCTCTTTTCAAGGATATATGAATATAAATAGGATATTACTGCCAGAGAGTTTGTAGCTAGATTCATATTCTATTTAATCACATGCAACAATTTCCATAGAATCGTAATGAATATTATCTTCATTTTAAGTTGGTGCTTAATTTACATATGATAGGGGAATATGACCGAAAGAGACAAATGAAGGGTAACTCCCAGATTGTTGGCATCAGTGCCTGGGTGAATGATGATGCTGTTTACTGGGGTAAACTAGTTTTGGAGGGAGAACTCAAAAAGTTCTTTGTGCACTTGGCCATGTATAGTATGATAGGCCTTCTACTCACAGAAGTAGAGATGTTTTATAAAAGGTCAGATGTTGAGTCGGTTTGGTGGGAGCTGCATTATAACAGGTCATCTTCAGTGTAACTTTACTAAGTTCTTTGAGCAGATGACAGTATGTCCAAATAAATGAATTCACAAGCCTTTCTGTTCAGCAGGTAAGTAACATCTTTTAAAGTACCGGGGCTTCTGCATTACAGGCTTATAGTGCCTAAAGATAACCTCTGCTATAGAAGTTTTGGGAAACTGTCCTTCTCACCTGGACTATTGCAGTAATGTCTTAACCGGTCTTTCATTCACTCAGGCTGTGTAGTCTATTCTCAATCAACAGCCAGAGTGAACTTTTTAAAATGTAAATCTAATCAAGTCATTCATCTGCCTAAAACTTGCCAGTTGTGTCTCTTTGCCCTTCAGAACTTAAATCCACACCTTGGCTTATGGAGCCCTGCATGACCTGGCCTCTGTTTCCCCAGCCTTACCTCAGGCCATTCTTCCCCCTCTCACTAAGCTCTTGCCAAGTAGGCCTGCCTCCAGGGCTTCCAACACTCTAAGCTCCTTTGCCTCTCAAATCCCTTGTCTATGCCATAGACACCAGAAACACTTTTCCCTTCAGCAACTTTCCATCAAATCTCACTTAGATACTACTTTCCCAAAAATAATCTGACATTATAATCTGAAGTAGTTCTCCCCTCTTTTTTCTCATTGTGACCTGCAATTTTCCTTCACTGCATTGGTCAAAATTTATAACCACACACTACTGGGTGTTTAATGCCCATCTTTCTCCACATTCTCTAAATATAGTTTTCATTTACTATAATATACTCAGTACATAATACCATATCTGTTGTACATTAAATAAGTATTTGTTGAAGGAGTAAGTACAGGAATTAATTCTTTAAACAGTGGGATGCTAAAGAAATTATTTCAGCGTGGGAAAAACAGGACCAGATTTATGTATTGGAAAGATTCAAATGGCAGAATTACAGATGGTTGATTGGATGGGAATAAGATTGAAAACAAGGAGACCCCACCAGGGGATGTTGCCAGTAGTCCGGGTGGGAGATGACGAGAGATCCAGTCTGAGGCTGTACCTGTGGGAAATGAGACCGATGGACAGATTTTTAAATACATAAGAGAAAGAATTGATGGGACTTTAAGACTGATTAATTAAAAATGAGTGAGAGAATCATATCCAGGTGTCTTGATAGGATCATACATACTGATACTGTCAACAAAGATAGGAATTTCAGCAAAAACAACTGGTTATTGAGAAAAGTTACATGAGTTTCCTAATACGTTGAGTTTGTTGAAGTACCTTTGTATATCCAAATGCAGAAATCTCAGGCAGTTGGATGGATAAAGGTTTCTGGAAGTCACCAGAGTGGTCTGAGGAGATAAAAATGAAGAATCATCAATTTACAGGTAGCAGTTGAAAGCATGGGATTGGATGCGATTGACTGGGAAAAGAGGATAAAGTGAAAAGAGGAAAGTCTATACTGTAGGGAGCAAGCAGAGAAAGGAACTAGCCGAAGTGACAGAGAAAGGATCATCAGAAGAACAAGCAGGGCAGAGAGCATGCCACGTCCAAAACCAGAGGAAAAGTAAAGTCCCAGGAGGAACTGCTCAGTAGTGGTGGCATGTGAAGCAGTGATGTCAGATGCACAAAGGACTGAGAAATGGTTTTGAATTTGGCAACATGTGGGGCATGAACTGCTTTGCGTTGCAGCTTGAGTGATAGGGTGGAGGCAGAGCCAGATCACAGTGGTTTGAGGACAAAGATTTAAAAACTGGAGACACTGGTATGTGGATGGCTCAGCTCAATTAAGAATGAAAAGATAGAGGAAAGGTAATGTCTGGGGAGGCAGGGGGCATTGTAGTTTCAAAACTGAACATGTTTATAGAGGAAGAAAGAATCTTTGTAGAAGAGGTTAGTAGTATAGGGGAGAGTTGATGTCCCACGTATGCTATTATTTCAAGTTTTAATTCTGGCAAGACTATTGTTCTCCATTTTTACCCTGTAGAATGGAAAAAGTGGTACATTCAATAAGCTTTTCTGAATATATCTCTAGTGACTGTTTAAATGTATTTTAAATTTCTTTTTCATACTTTTAAAGAAACACTAATATATATTTTTAAATTGATAATTCAGTTATATGTTTACCTGAGAGTATTCATCTTCCAGGTGCCCAGGCTCTTTTACATGTTGTTAATTTCATAGTAGGTCATAGATTTTTTTATTTGGTGGGAGTTACCAAGGATAAAAATGTTATTTAATAAAAATTTTTTAATCAAAATGGACTTGGAATACACCTATGCTTTTTTGTAAAAATATTTTCTTAAGAAAACAAAATGTTAGGGAAAAAAGTATATAACATGTACATTATTTTTATCATGTTCTAAGGTACTTCCCAGTATTTTCCAAATTTAAGGTGTGTGTGTAAATTGACAGTCTTGCTGTGCTCATTAGGAACTATTTGGCTAAACACAGTATCTGTCACCTATTTTGTTTAGTTTGAATAACATGTTTTAATGAGTAATTTTGATTTTTCTTTTTATCTGTATCTGTCTTATGTCTACTATATCATAAGGGGAAAAAAATCCCCTTCTGACATTTAGTTCTCTTGCCTATTTATATTATTAAAACTAACAAATTTTTCCTGTTGGTACTATTTAGGCCAGCAGTTTCCCCTTATTTTATTAAAACAATAACAAAAGAAACCTATGATCTTACCATTTAATTTTTGAGAGGGTATAAGAAAATAATTTTGCCTGAGTTTTAAATTTTGGCCATGACTAAGGCAAGTGGCTTTATATTAATTACAGTGATAGTCATTAAGTGGAAGTTGGTAATGATGTTAAGTTTAAAACTTACTCCTTATGCCTGTAGGCAATTATGCATCTGTCAGACACTCATATTTTATTCTAGATTTAAAGAAATATAGATGTTAATTTGTAAGCTTAGAGATATTAATGTTAACTATCTACTATGTATTATTTTACATAAGCAGACTTCTTTTGATGTTAATAAAATGTTTATTTACAGAAAGAGACTTGTGGATAATCAGAAACCAGTGAAATAGAAAAATTGGACCTGTCATACATTATGTATTCCTATAAGACTATACATTTTTACAAAATTGAAATTTCATGTTAGTAATATCATCCTGATGACATTACATAAAGTAACATTTTAGATTGCCATTAAATATACTTGGACAATTCTAATTTTTATTAAATAAATAATGAAGACTGCTGTATTAATGAGAAAAATAAGATCATTACACTGGAATTATCTATAGTGTATTTTAATTTCTAGAGAAGAAATGTTAGTGAAATCAGACTTCTTTATAGATATTTATATTC